TCCAGTTCTGTGAAGAAAGTCGATGGTAGCTTGATGGGGATAGCGTTGATTCTGTAAATTACTTTGGGCAGTATAGCCATTTTCACGACATTAATTCTTCCTAACCATGAACATGGAATGTTTCTCCATCTGTTTGTGTCCTCTCTGATTTCGTTGAGCAGTGGGTTTGTAGTTCTCCTTGAAGAGGTCCCTTACGTTCCTTGTGAGTTGTATTCCAAGGTATTTTATTCTTTTTGTAGCAATTGTGAATGGCAGTTCATTCTTGATTTGGCTTTCTTTAAGTCTGTTATTGGTGTAGACGAATGCTTGTGATTTTTGCACATTGATTTTATATCCTGAGACTTTGCTGAAGTTGCTTATCAGTTTCAGGAGTTTTTGGGCTGAGGTGATGGGGTCTTCTAGGTATACTATCATGTCATCTGCAAATAGAGACAATTTGGCTTCCACCTTTCCTATTTGAATACCCTTTATTTCTTTTTCTTGCCTGATTGCTCTGGCTAGAACTTCCAGAACTATATTGAATAGGAGTGGTGACAGAGGGCATCCTTGTCTAGTGCCGGATTTCAAAGGGAATGCTTCCAGTTTTTGCCCATTCAGTATGATATTGGCTGTTGGTTTGTCATAAATAGCTTTTATTACTTTGAGATACGTTCCATCGATACCGAGTTTATTGAGGGTTTTTAGCATAAAGGGCTGTTGAATTTTGTCAAATGCCTTCTCTGCGTCAATTGAGATAATCATGTGGTTTTTGTTTTTGGTTCTGTTTATGTGGTGAATTACATTTATAGACTTGTGTATGTTGAACCAGCCTTGCATCCCCGGGATGAATCCTACTTGATCATGGTGAATAAGTTTTTTGATTTGCTGTTGCATTCGGCTTGCCAATATTTTATTGAAGATTTTTGCATCTATGTTCATCATGGATATTGGCCTGAAGTTTTCTTTTCTCGTTGGGTCTCTGCCGGGTTTTGGTATCAGGATGATGTTGGTCTCATAAAATGATTTGGGAAGTATTCCCTCTTTTTGGATTGTTTGAAATAGTTTTAGAAGGAATGGTACCAGCTCCTCTTTGTTTGTCTGGTAGAATTCGGCTGTGAACCCGTCTGGACCTGGGCTTTTTTTGTGAGGTAGGCTCTTAATTGCTGCCTTGACTTCTGACCTTGTTATTGGTCTATTCATAGTTTCAGCTTCCTCCTGGTTTAGGCTTGGGAGGACACAGGAGTCCAGGAATTTATCCATTTCTTCCAGGTTTACTAGTTTATGTGCATAGAGTTGTTTGTAATATTCTCTGATGATGGTTTGAATTTCTGTGGAATCTGTGGTGATTTCCCCTTTATCATTTTTTATTGCATCTATTTGGTTGTTCTCTCTTTTATTTTTAATCAATCTGGCTAGTGGTCTGTCTATTTTGTTGATCTTTTCAAAAAACCAACTCTTGGATTTATTGATTTTTTGAAGGGTTTTTCGTGTCTCAATCTCCTTCAGTTCAGCTCTGATCTTAGTTATTTCTTGTCTTCTGCTGGGTTTTGAGTTTTTTTGATCTTGCTCCTGTAGCTCTTTCAATTTTGACGATAGGGTGTCAATTTTGGATCTCTCCATTCTCCTCATATGGGCACTTATTGCTATATACTTTCCTCTAGAGACTGCTTTAAATGTGTCCCAGAGGTTCTGGCATGTTGTGTCTTCGTTCTCATTGGTTTCGAAGAACTTCTTTATTTCTGACTTCATTTCATTGTTTACCCAGTCAACATTCAAGAGCCAGTTGTTCAGTTTCCATAAAGTTGTGCGGTTCTGGGTCGGTTTCTGTATTCTGAGTTCTAACTTGATTGCACTATGGTCTGAGAGGCTGTTTGTTATGATTTCAGTTGTTTTGCATTTGCTGAGCAGTGCTTTACTTCCAATTATGTGGTCAATTTTTGAGTAGGTGTGATGTGGTGCTGAGAAGAATGTATATTCTGTGGATTTGGGGTGGAGAGTTCTGTAAATGTCTATCAGGTTTGCTTGCTCCAGGTCTGAGTTCAAGCCCTGGATATCCTTGTTGATTTTCTGTCTGGTTGATCTGTCTAATATTGACAGTGGAGTGTTAAAGTCTCCCACTATTATTGTGTGGGAGTCTAAGTCTCTTTGTAAGTCATTAAGAACTTGCCTTATGTATCTGGGTGCTCCTGCATTGGGTCTATATATGTTTAGGATCGTTAGCTCTTCTTGTTTTATTGATCCTTTTACCATTATGTAATGGCCTTCTTTGTCTCTTTTGATCTTTGTTGCTTTAAAGTCTATTTTATCGGAGATGAGAATTGCAACTCCTGCTTTTTTTTGCTCTCCATTTGCTTGGTAAATCTTCCTCCATTCCTTCATTTTGAGCCTTTGTGTATCCTTGCATGTGAGATGGGTTTCCTGGATACAGCACACTGATGGGTTTTGGATTTTTATCCAATTTGCCAGTCTGTGTCTTTTGATTGGTGCATTTAGTCCATTTACATTTAAGGTTAATATTGTTATGTGTGAATTTGATACTGCCATTTTGATGCTAAGTGGCTGTTTTGCCTGTTGGTTGTTGTGGATTCTTCATTATGTTGATGCTCTTTAACTTTTAGTGTGATTTTGGAATGGCTGGTACTGGTTGTTCCTTTCTATGTGTAGTGCCTCTTTTAGGAGCTCTTGTAAAGCAGGCCTGGTGGTGACAAAATCTCTGAGTACTTGCTTGTTCGCAAAGGATTTTATTTTTCCTTCACTTCTGAAGCTCAGTTTGGCTGGATATGAAATTCTGGGTTGAAAGTTCTTTTCTTTAAGAATGTTGAATATTGGCCCCCACTCTCTTCTGGCTTGTAGTGTTTCTGCCGAGAGATCTGCTGTGAATCTGATGGGCTTCCCTTTGTGGGTAACTCGACCTTTCTCTCTGGCTGCCCTTAGTATTTTCTCCTTTATTTCAACCTTGTTGAATCTGACGATTATGTGCCTTGGGGTTGCTCTTCTTGCGGAATATCTTTGTGGTGTTCTCTGTATTTCCTGCATTTGAGTGTTGGCCTGTCTTGCTAGGTGGGGGAAGTTTTCCTGGATGATGTCCTGAAGAGTATTTTCCAGCTTGGATTCATTCTCTTCGTCCCCTTCTGGTACACCTATCAAACGTAGGTTAGGTCTTTTCACATAGTCCCACATTTCTTGGAGACTTTGTTCATTCCTTTTTGCGCTTTTTTCTCTAATCTTGGTTTCTCGTTTAATTTCATTGAGTTGGTCTTCGACTTCAGATATTCTTTCTTCTGCTTGGTCAATTCGGCTATTGAAACTTGTGCATGCTTCGCAAAGTTCTCGTATTGTGTTTTTCAGCTCCTTTAATTCATTCATATTCCTCTCTAAGTTATCCATCCTTGTTATCATTTCCTCATATGTTTTTTTAAGTTCCTTAGTTTCTTTGCATTGATTTAATACATGTTCTTTTAGCTCACAAAAGTTTCTCATTATCCACCTTCTGAAGTCTAATTCCGTGATTTCGTCACAGTCATTCTCTGTCCAGCTTTGCTCCCTTGCTGGTGAGGAGTTTCGGTCCTTTCTAGGAGGTGAGGTGTTCTGGTTTCGGGTGTTTTCCTCCTTTTTTTCGCTGGTTTTTTCCCATCTTTGTGGGTTTATCCGCTTGTCATCTGCGTAGTTGCTGACTTTTCGATTGGGTCTCTGAGTGGACACCCAGATTGTTGATGATGAAGTATTTCTATTACTTGGTTTTCCTTCTACCAGCCTAGCCCCTTCGCTGTATGACTGCTGAGGTCCACTCCAGGCCCTGCTTGTCTGGGGTGTACCTCTAGCAACTGTGGCACAGTGAGGGATGCTACCCGTTTCTTTTTCTGCTATCTTTGTCCCAGGATGATGCCTGCCAAATGTCAGTCTTTTGGATATAGAGGGGTCAGGGAGCTGCTTGAGGAGACAGTCTGTACTTTTTTGGAGCTCAATTGCTGAGCTGTGAACTCTGTTGTTCATTCAGGGCTGTTAGGCTGCTATGTTTGATTCTGCTGCAACAGAGCTCATTAAAAAAAACCCTTTTTTTCTCAAATGCTCTGTGTTGGGGGGTTCGGGCTTCATTTTTCGACATCCGTTGAGGTGTCCTGCCCAGCTAGAAGGCAGACTAGCCACTGTTTGGCTGCCGAGGCTCCGCCCTGCTGTTGTGTGATTCGCCCTGTTCCTGCAGGCTCTGCTGTGGTCTCCGCCACGCCCTACGGCAGGGTCTTTTCGTTGTAGCATGTTGCCTCGGCAACGGCAGGCTGCGTCAGCAGTGGGCGTGTATCTCAGTAGGGATGGGTTGCCTCGGCAACAGAAGGCTGTGTCAGCAGTGGGCGTGTATCTCAGTAGGGACGGGTTGCCTCGGCAACGGCTGGCTGCGTCAGCAGTGGGCGTGTATCTCAGTTGGGGCGGGTTGCCTCGGTAGTGGTGGATGCCCCTCCCCCACAGAGCGTCTCGGACCGTCTGCTCGGGATAGTTTGAAATCGCGGTTTTGTTCGTCCCACTGGGTGTCCCAAACGATCTGTCCCTGCAATCCCCTGGGCTGGCCTACTGTCCAAGTCTCGTTTAGTCTCAAGTCCAGCCCTCTCAAGTCTCAGGTTGCCGGTTCAACAGGGCACCCGGACAAGCGCGCCCTGCGGGGATTGCTGGGTAGGGCCGGCCGCCGCCGCCCCGTCTGCTGGCTTCGCCAGGCAGACCTACTGCCTGGCGTCCCGTGTCTTTTTTGTACTTGGGAGTTTCCCCGTTCTGTGGGCAACAAAGATCAGTCTGGAAATGCTGCTCCAACTCACCTGTTTGCGGATTCAACGAGAGCTCCAATCCTGGGTTGTTCTCACAGCGCCATCTTCGCTAACATCCCCTCCATTATTCTTTCTTCATTTGTTAGTTGGAATTATTTTATAATAAAGAGTTATCCCTTCTCCCCATTTGTTTATTTGATTATTTATTTATGTCGGTATTTACCCATAAATTATCTTATTGTGTCATAGTTCATTGATATCAGTACTTACTTTGTTCAAATTATCCCAGATCTGTCTGAAAGCTACTTCAAGTTAGCTCCTGTTTTCTTTTTGTCATTACCATCATCTTTTGAGCACTTTCTTACTTTTTGGCTCCAAAATATTCCAGGCGCACTTGTACTTTCCCATCGCCAGTTCTAGAATCAGCTATTTTTCAATAAGTTCTGATTCTATTTATTGAAGAATATTAGAAACCAAGCTCTTAATACTGTGTGTGCTCATTGGTAGTGGGGTTTCATTGATTCTAGGCCTCTTCAATAAGCAGAACTAAGAGACAGATACACACACACATATCTATTTATATATCTGTACATAGAGATAGTGTTATTCCTTCTTTACTAATTCTTTTTCCTTTAATTGATTTTTCTTGTCAAGTTGTATTGGCTAATATTTTTAACACTATTTAATGTTCAATAGTAGTAGATCAAGTGCTTATCCTCATTGAATTCCCGATGTTAGTGGAAGTACCTCTAGCTTTTTGCTATTAAGTAAGTTGATGGATTTTAGGACTAAGGCATATATAATTTATTATGTTAAAGTACCCATTATTTCTTATTTTCTTGAGTGTTTTCAATGAGGAGGCAATCTACATTCATAAAGAAGGCATAGGAAGAAAGACACAATGGCAAACATGGATGCTGATTAAATATGCCAATAAATTAACTGTAAAAACTCTTTTAAAAAAAGAATACTAGCAATAACAATCTAACTTTATATTTTTTTAAAGTAACACTAAAATTATTAACAAAGGACAAGATGCAGAGAACCTAGTTAAAGTGGTCCGAGAGTCTTAAATTTAAAAAATTAGAGTTGCATAGCTGGGTGCGGTGGCTCATGCCTGTAATCCCAGCACTTTGGGAGGCTGCAGTGGGTGGACCATGAGGTCAGGGGTTCGAGACCAGCCTGACCAACAAGATGAAACCTGTCTCTACCTAAAAAAATACAAAAATTAGATGGGTGTGGTGGCACTCACCTGTAATCCCAGCTACTTGGGAGGCTGAGGCAGGAGAATTGCTTGAACCCAGAAGGCAGAGATTGGGGTGAGCCGAGATTGCGCCATTGCACTCCAACCTGGGCTACAGAGCAAGATTCTGTCTCAAAACAAAACAAAACAAATAGAGTTGCATATATAAAAACTTAAAGGAGAGATGCTAAAAGTTTAGAAATACAATCTGTAGATTCTAAAAACAGCATTGCAGGTATGAAGAGGAAGAAACATAGAAAACGTCATTAATCTAGCAGAAAGCAGAAAAAGAAAAAGATAAAGCGAGTAAATAAAAAATACAAATAAGATACATAAATGCAACCAACTGTATCAGTAATCATAAATATAAAGAGATTAAATTTACCCAATAAAATGCAGAGATTGACAAACTAAAATTTTTTTTTTTAATCCTGTTGAATGTTATTGACAAGATATACAACTGTAATGTAAGGACAAAGAAAGATTGAAAGGGGAGAGATGGTGGGGTAAGTTGAATTATTCATCCCAATTCTTCATTCCCTCTTCATTCACACACTTATCATAGCTTCTTTATGGGCAGCCTAGTTCCCTGCCCCTTGACTCTGGGCTTAGTCACAGAACTTAATTTGGCCAGTGGAATGGGCCAGAAATAACAGTGTGCCAATTCTAAGAGTAGGCCGTATGAAACCTCCCATATTTTCTATTGCCCCCTTGCAACTTTGCCATTGCCATGAGATCTCCTGTATAGCTGCTGTCCCAGCAGCATGAACAACAAAATAAACACGTGTAGAGCAGAGGTTTCCCAGCGAACACATAGATGTATAGTGGGAAGCAGAGCCACACGGCACAGGACAGCTTAGATCAGCAAAGCCCCAGCTGACCAGTGTTCTGTGAACTAATCTTTTATTTTAGGCTCCATGTGCTTACTTGGCATAATAGGGAGATATAAGGCCTGTAATCTCTGCCCATTTTGAGCTCTTGTTTTGTATAAGGCACTTTTCTATTTTTCTAATCTGCCAGACCAGCAGCCCTCTATAATGTAGGATCTACAGGATAGCTTCCAGTTCCCAGTATCATCCTTTAGGTCTTTTAATCTCTTTTATATTCTTATAACCACAGTGACTTACCCACATTCATTTTTTGTTAGTTTGGCCTAGAATATTGTGGGTATTATCTAACACTTGATATGGTGGTTCCAGCTCATTTATTTCAGGGAAGCATTTGGGAGTATGGATCTTTCTAACATCCTTTTATAAAAAATAACCTAAAGAAAGTAAATTCATCCCAGCACTTTGGGAGGCCGAGGCGGGTGGATCACGAGGTCAAGCGATCGAGACCATCCTGGTCAACATGGTGAAAACCTGTCTCTACTAAAAATACAAAAAATTAGCTGGGCGTGGTAGTGCACGCCTGTAATCCCAGCTGCCCAGGAGGCTGAGGCAGAATTGCCTGAACCTAAGAGGTGGAGGTTGCGGTGATCTGAGATCGCGCCATTGCACTCCAGCCTGGGTAATAAGAATGAAACTCCGTCTCAAAAAAAAAAAAAAAAAAGAAAGTAAATTCTACAGGTTCATCATTTGCTCTTCTCAGAGTCTACCTTTTACCTACCAATCAATGACTCCTATCTAATAATCTTTTTTTTCCTTTCTGACATATTCTTAAGAAGCTCTTCATTCTAGTTTTGGAGGCTTTTTTTACATTGCTTAGCAAAATCTCTTTTGATGGTGATAGTGTACATTTAACAAAAGCAAATTACATTGGCAAATTTCCCATTCACATTGAAACTACACAAAACATGTATATTTAGCAGTCATATTCAGCAGTGTCCAGCAAACTGAAATAACAACTGAGGGATGCTTGCAGTAAGCATCTGCCAAAGTGCAGGGAGAAAACAGTCTCAAAACTGTTGTAGAATAGTTCAAGGCAAATCACATTTCTATGAAATATTGATGCAGCATCAAAGATGATGTTGCCTTAGACATTTAAGTAAGCTTCTGTTATGAAAGGTGTAACTCTTGTGTTTTATACCTGCACACAGTAAAAATATCAGGAGTGTCTGAAAAGGCTGTCTCATTACTTAGACTCTTAAATTGCCACCCTGAATTTTTAAGTTACATAAAAGAATGGATTCGTGAGATGAAGAATGCATTGATTTCTCAACATTCTGTCTCTGGAGTGAAGAGAAAAATGAGGCAGTATATTAAGGAGCCATCAAGTCCAATGTTTATGACAATAATAAAAACTTATAATAGAGAGTGTTCTAAAAGAGATTTGAGTTTTTGTACTGGATACAATACAAGACTGGGATACTAAGTTTATGTAGTGATAAACAGTTATTTAAGAAAGAACTGATGCATTCAAGAAACCATAGGTGATTTACAAGCAAAACAGAATTTCAAGTAGTTATAGCAGGAAAAATTGAACATCACAATTCTTGTTCTCAACTTGAAATAATCTAGTTCAGTTTATGCCAAGTGCAAGCTCAAGGCCACTCACCAGGAAGTTGTGATATTGTTTTACTTGAAAGAGATAAAAGATTTCCCCAAGGCCACCACCTTGATTGGTTTTGTTGTAAGTAGTATTGTTGCTGCCACACATCTGGGCTGGAGGGTTGATTCCACTCCTGGCACCATTATCGATGGTCCATGCAAGGCTCCAGGACTTTTGCCTCAGTACCTTTCATTCCATTTTATCCCAATTCTTCATTCCCATTCTATTTTCCCATAGGCAACCATTCTAATGTATTTTAGTTAATACTTATTGTATGCCCTATTATGTGTTGGCTTCAAGGTCTAGGAATGCATCACTGATCAAAGTAGATTAAAAACTCCTGCCTTCCTGGACCCTATTTTCTAAAAGGGGATGCTCAATTTAAAAATCAAGTAGTAAATATTATTGAAGGGCAGTAAGTACTAGAGAGAAGTAAATAGGGAAGAAGAAAAGGAAATGCTTGGGATGCGAGTGCCATTTTAAACAGGATGGTGAGGAAAGAGCTCACTCAAGAGGTAACATTTGAGCCTAGATTTTAAGAAGGTGAGCATGTGAGCCATGCAGATATCCAAGAGAAGACTTTGGGGACAGCACATACAAGGGCTCCAGGACTTTTCTTCCACCATCCTCACAGTACTTCATGCTGTGCTTCTCCCATACTTAACTCATTAATTCTCCAGCAGTGGACTTCTAGTGGCCCTGTGTGAGAAGTTCACTGACGAATACACCCCCAGAAAGAGGTGGATGGATTTGGGGGTACACAGGTAATTCAACCAAGTACTTCTGGATTTTCCTCTAGAATAGCCACATTTGTCTTCACCATTAACAGCTCATCATCGTCACCATATATCTGCCGTGATCTTTGTTCAGATTTTTAATTTTTGCCAAGATGATGAAAACAATATGATATTTCATTGTTTTTTAAATGGGAATGGCTCCTTTTTTTTACTCTTTTAACTGTGGTAAAAAGTATTTTACAATTTGCTGTGTTTTCCATTTTTAAGTGCACAATATAGTAGCAGTAATGACATTCATAATGTTGTACAGCCATCACAGCTTTAAGTCTTAATATAGCACCATTGCTTTGGAGTCAGGAAGCCTTGGATTTGAATCCCATATCTTGCCTTACTGGCTGCATGACCCTGGAAAAGTGGCTTAATCTCTTTGGGCCTCAGTTTTCTTATCTGTAGAATGGAGATAATACTACTAATCCTTCTACACTCTTCTAAATATTAAGTGTTATGATATATGTACAGGATTGTTGTTCTTAGTAAAAGTATTTGATAAACACCAATTGGATTATTAGTAGTAGTATGAGTAATAACGTGATTATTAATTATGCTTAGCTGCCATTTCATCTGAACCTGCCCTAATTCAAATGGCAGGACAGGGGATCCTTGGTGTTTCAGCAGCATCATCCTTACCACCAAAGAACCTGGGCTCAGAATTTAGTGGAGGAATAAAGAGGATTGAGAAATAATTTCATTGTGGAACCAAAGAAGTAGAGGTAAAAATGATTAAATAACATTCAAACCATCATCTCTTTTTTTTTTTTTTCAGTCTTCGTGATCCTTTATTGGAGCAAGATTCCTGATATACAGTGAGGTATTTACTAAACAGAGACCTGTGCAGAAATTACACACCATCCATCTAGACAGCTTGTGACATTTGCCTATTGATGGCATCACTCCACTTACCAAGTTTTATACATCAAAAAGCTCTGAATTTCATCAAGCTGTTCACTAGTTCACCTCTGAAAAAGTGACATTTAATTTCAGCTACCATATTTTACAGCATTAAAAAGCTTATGCATTATGACGCATCTCTGCACAGTAGCATTGAGCAGATAGAGCTGAGTCCATTATGCTGTCCAGATTCACATAGTCCCATTTGAGAGCTTTAGACCAGAGAGCTGGGCCAAAGTTACTCCTAATTAACACAGACTTCTTACCCTGACGGCCTATCTTCTTGACCACATTTTATATAGCCAGTGAAGACAGACCAGCAACCATCCCATGTATAACTTGGGATTAGAGCATGAGGTGTGTCAAACCATGATCTTATATAAGGAGCAATTCCAGGGCCAACAGATGAGGACAGGAGGCTTCTGGAATGGAAGAAGGTTCTCCTCCCCAGCTGCGTGAGTGCATGCTCCCCAGCAGGAGGAGGAATGGCTCTTTGCTGCCTTCTCCTGTGCTTGGAAAAAGATGCTCTGCTGCACTGATGGACGTTGGAATCTCAAGATCTGCCAATGTACTTTTTTTTTTTAAGTCTGATTTTAAAAAAATATTTTGATACGTTAATACACATTTTGGGTCTGAATCTCTTAGATTTCACTGATGACACTAATATATAAGTAACTAAAACTGGCAGATTTCACTGGTGATGTGAGATTATTCATCAGTACTTTTTTGAAACAGGAGTCAGGTTTTGCTTCCCACTGTGATTATCTTGTATCCTGTAACTACCAGCATATAATTGAGTCATTTCATAAAACTTGCCAAAACGCAGAAAAGAATGAAGCAAAACAAAACAAAACAAAAAATAGCATTAATGTAGGAAAAAAGTAAGTATTTTCAATTCAAAAGTGAGAGTCTAGTAGAATAAGTTTGGGAGTGTTTGCACAGTTTTTCTTCTCTGTGCTATTCAGTCCAGCTGTTCACTAGCTTTTGAAAAACAAAGAAAAAATGTAATTGCCCCTGCTGAAGTAATTTTTAAAACATATCTTTTACTTTCCATTTTTATCTAAGTGGTCCTTTTCTACTTTTTAGAATGTCAAATTGTAGAATTTGCTTACTGAAAATGTGTGCTTTAGGCTACAAAAGAATATTTACAAATCCTTACCAAAAAAAAAAAAAAAGCAAGTGGGAGTGGAAATTTGAAAGAGGACCGCCTAATTCAGCACTAAAACCAGGGTGAGAAGCAGTGTGTGTGTGTGTGTGTGTGTGTGTGTGTGTGGTGTGTAAAATGTGTTTTTCAAAGTACCGAGAGGTCAATGACACTGATTAACTCCTCTGAGAAGAAGAGAAAAGGTTCTCGGACCTCTTCTTGTTTCTTCCTTAGAATAATTTGGATGGGATTTGTGATAAAGAAAAGCCTAAGGGAAAAAGGATATTCATTCTGTGTGGTGGAAAATTTTTGAAAAAAAAAATTGCTTTCTTCAAACAAGGTATGTCCGATGAATTTCTAAGCTGTGTATATAGTTACTTTACATTCATTATTATGGAAATGTATTTGTCTTGAAGAAACTACAGTATAAACCTTGACCAAGTAAGCAGCCTATACAAATTTCAGTTTCAAGAGAGTTGAGATTAGAGTGGGTGGCAGCTGGCATCCTTGTAAACAACTAGTAGTATATATTATATTTATTAATTATACATAAACTGCATTGATATTATAACAAGATATTTTACTGTTTCTTTAAACCTATTCAATTATGGTTAAAAGTAAGTTGAAAAGTATGACATTTGTGTAGAACTTTAAAGTAATTTAAGTCTCTATTATCTTGTTTTTAAAACTTTGCTTGGAAATATGGAATATAATAGCAATATAGCTAATTGCTTATAAAGATGTGTAAATATTTCATATTTCATAGCAGCATGAGAAATGGGCACATTGGTGCTAACTTAAAAGAAAAACTATTTCGTGTGGATCTCTACTTCTCTCTATTCAGACAGATTTCAGTGGAATGTGGCTACATGTGCAATTCTGTGTCTTGTTTACACTTAAAGTGTTTTCTTAGGCTGAATGCTTCTGTTACTGATAAGCCCAAGAAGGGGCTGGCATTGTTAAGTCTACCGTTGTAGCTCAGCTTTTCACAGGAAGACAGGATATGAAATCTCTTTTAAGTGTGATTTGTGTCCAACCAGTATAAACACGAAATAAACGCCTCAAGCACAGGTTAAAGAGAGAGGATAAGACTGAATAATTAGACATCATAGTTTGCTCCGAACAACCCACAGCATCTTTGCCATTCCAAAATCAAGAGTGGAATTTAAAATTTTCTTTGGACGTTTTGTAAAAATAAAACTGAGCATTCTTGGCCCTGATGGTTGCTCAAAATTGCATGTGCTAAGAAAATAGTATTTTGCCATTATGTTGTGTTGCAATAAATTTGGAAGTTTTGGTGGTAAAGTTCTGAGGTTGTTTTTCCCTTGGTCTCTTGAAAGATGAAAACACCCTGCAGCAAAGCAGGATCAAACACTGTTTGTCTGTGTATTTTCTCTCTCTGTGTGTTAGCTGCAAGTGATAGCCAGCACTGGTGGGAAAGCTGGAAGTACTATCTTTTATTTATTGAATTAAAATACCCTCTTTCGTTAAAAAGCTTTAGACAAAGAATTACAAGATTGCAAGGACTTGCATTTTTTATTGCAATATGCTGGTTTTCCAGCTAAGCTTCATTTAAATATATCATATGCCTCACCACCAATAAAAAAAAAAATGCCTCAGGAAGATTGGAAATGCTTAATATCTATCCTGAAAGTGTTTTCTTCATGAATATTGTTTAGAAGATCTGTCTTTTCCACCAACTTACTGATCACATGAAGAATAGTTTCTTTCAGAGAAAATACATGAGGTTTGAGAATGGTTTATGAATAGCATCATGAGAACAAAAATGTTTGTGCTGTTCTCAGCTGTGATTCCTGTAAGACACGCTGAATACAGGAAAGCAGCATAGTTTAATGCATGTGCCAAGCCAGGAGTCTTAAATTATAGTAACAGCTCTGCCACTACCTAGCTATTACCTTGGAAAAGGTATGTAACATTTCTTGACTTTTGTTTCCCTCTTTAAAAAACAGAAATAGCAATGCCTGTTACACCCTCCCTTCCAGGGTAACCACAAAGGTCAGTAGTGATTCTTAGATCCAAAAGAGTTTTGAAATGTCAAAACTTCTATAGCAATTTAATCTTGGTCAGGTGCAGTGGCTCACGCCTGTAATCCCAGCACTTTGGGAGTCCGAGGTCAGGAGTTCAAGACCAGCCTGGCCAATATGCTGAAACCCCATCTCTACTAAAAATACAAAAATTAGTCGGGCATGGTGGCAGGCACCTGTAATCCCAGCTACTCAGGAGGCTGAGGCAGGAGAATCACTTGCACTTAGGAGGCAGAGGTTGCAGTGGGCCAAGATCATGCCACTGCACTCCAGCCTGGGTAAGAAAGTGAGACTCAGTCTCAAAAAAAAAAGAAAAGAAGTGTAAAATTTTCCCCCCACATATTAAAAAAATAGATTACTTTAGAAAGCATTTATATGATAAAAACTTCATGGCCTCCCACATGTTCCCACGATGCTGTGCCCACATGTGCAACTTCCCCTCTCCTTGCTCTCACTTGGACATGTGAGCCAAGTGTCAGCAGCAATGGGTACAAGACAGAGCACACGGGTCTGTCTGTCAGTAAAAGGGCATTTAGCTGTGGGGCTTTGGAGAGGTTACTCAACAACTCTGCGTCTCTATTTCATCACATACAAAATGAAGAAGTTAAGCAAGATAGTCTCTAAATTTCCCTCTCAATCCTATGGTTCTATGCACTGGGAGCTTTCCAATGTCAAAATATGGCCAGGACAATTTCACTGTTGCAATTCTCTGTACATTGCTAAATGATGAAGTATCGAAACAGGGCTATAAAACTTATGGTAGTCTTAAATATGTATGTTTACATAACCAGAGACTTTAAAGTATACAAAAATGAAATTTAACATAATTATATTCTTTACAAGACAATTACAGGAGATTATACATATACATATACACATACACAAACATATACATATACATACACTGGAGAAAGTGGGTCCAAGTTATAGGAAAGACTTTTTCAGTTCTCTGCTGTATTTCTGTGACTGTCAGTATAACCCCATGTGGAAAGAATGTCAAATGCTTTAATTTAAAGCCTTACATGTGAGGTCAAGGCAAAAATGTCCCTTTCTGTGCTCTGGGTCCTATGGGTGTGAGGCAGGAAGCTCTGCTACTTTTTAAATGTGTTAATGTTGGCAAGTTACTTAAAGTCTCTTGGCCTCAGTTTTCTCATCTATAAAAGGGGTCTATTATGGCTGTCTACCTACCCCACAGAGCTGCAGCAAAAAGGTTTGATCAGTGCCTGACACATTGCCAGCACCCAAATGTTAGTAAATTGTTTTTTATTTTTATTATATGTGACTAGAATAAAGAAATCAGATAAGCTGTGAAACAAATCATTTGTAACAATCTTCAAACTTTGACACATTCGCTCACTGGATACATTCAGCAAATAGATGCATGGAATTATGTGATATTAATATAATCATTAGAAACTAGTTGCCATCTCTTTATCCAGGGGACCTGAGCTTGTCAATCAATAAATACTAAATGAGAGAGGCAACTTCTGTGATGGTTGTAATCTGAGAAAGCTCAAAAGGCCTCCCTCTCACTGCCTTAAAATGTTTCTCCCTGTGGTTTGCAGAAGACGGTGAAATTCCTGGCCCTCAAACACACAGCATTTTGCAACATGGTGGTGTTCATGGTGGTGGTGTTAAAATGATTAACCATCACCCCAACAACAACAATAACAGCCCAGGTGTGGTGGCTCATACCTGGGATCCCAACACTTTGGGTGGCTGAGGCAGGAGGATTGCTTGAGGCCAGGAGTTTGAGACCAGCCTAGGCAACATAATGAGACCTTGTCCCTACTAAAACTAAAAACATTAGCTGTGCTCACCTATAATCCAAGCTATTAAGGAGGCTGAGGCAGGAAGATCACTTGCCACTGCACTCCAGCCTGGGCAACAGAGCAAGACCCTATTTCAATTAAATAATAATGATAATAACTGCTAACATTTACAGAGCTATTCTTATGTGCCATTCACTGTTCCAGCCCTTTTCATATATTAAGTCATTTAATCCTAACAGCAAACCTATGAGGTGGGTTCTTACTGTCACCATTACACAGATGAAAAAAACTAAGGCACTGATAGCTGAGTAAGTTGTCTGAAGCCACGCAGCAAGTAAGGGGTGGAGCTCAGCTTCAAATCCAAGAGGTCTACTTCCAAAGTCATACTCTTAATGTGCCAGGCAACAATTATGCATGGTCCTGGTTTTTCTGTGACAGTTCAAATTAGTCTTTACCATCCCTGAAAACATAGTTCTCAAGCCAAGTCAAAGTTCTTAAAGAAAAAAAAAAAGTGTTCCTCCTTGCAGGTAGAGACACCTTAGTAATAAAAAGGGAGAGGAATGGAGGCAAGAAACTCACAGGGGAAGGTCTGCCAGGTGAGAAGCACTTTTATTTCTGTCATTCTCAGATAATCTCCTGGATACCTCTTGGATGAGAATCGCTTTCTGAGTGGATGGGGAAAAATTGCCTTTTTTTTTTTTTTTGGTGCCGTGACTCAGATGAAGAATCGCTTTTTGGGTGGCTGACTCAGGGGTGTCAGGGGGTGCAGGAGGAGGGAAGGCTGAGGAGGAGACTGTTATGAAGCCCTCTGTGTAGCCTGTCTCCTTTATCTTCATTGGAAGGTTAACCCGGTAGCTTGTTGCAGAAAGAATCACGTTTCCTTATGACTCAAACTACTTCAAAAAATCACTTTCCCTGATAAGGTCTCTACATTGACAACACTGTAATGAAAATTTCTCAAATTCTTTCCTTTCAGTTGGAGAAAGGCTAAACTTCTGCATGGACCTGTGGTAAAATCCATAAACATCACCCTTCAGGCTATAGTGAGAAGGCATTCTTTTTCTACATTCTTTCTTCTCTTATTCAAAAAGAAAAAATATATACCTATGCCCTCAGGGAAGCTCTACCTGTAGTTTCCAAGGGATCAGGTCACTGGCATCTTAATGCTAAGTGAATTCCCTCCACCGGGCTTCTTTGTGTTCCAGACAGAGAAAACATGCTTTGGACATAAAGGTGCAAGTTAACGTGCCCAGACAAGCCATATTTACACAACACAGTGAATCAATCTGCACTCCAAAATGCAAAAAGAAGTTGGGGATGAGAGAATATTCAACAACAGAAAGAGCAAATATTTATTGGGCCATCTCCATGTGCCATTCCCAGTCCCACGTGCTTGAGAAGAAGAGTGACCAAAATCGTTTCCATTTTCCTAATGGAGTGGGGGCACATAATAAACAAATACACGTAAGAGGCCAGTGGTGATAAGTAGCAAAGTAGGATGCAGAGAGCAGTGAGGAGGAGGA